GAAAGATCCATATTATGCTGTGATCAAGAATGACGGTAATATGAAGAAACGTCCGGAATACCTTCTCTTCTCTCGTATCGATAATAAATGCTTTCACCTCGCATATGCTTTTTAATAGTGAATCTCCTATGAAAATATGGAATGACAAACCTTCGCCTTGAAGTGTATCCAGACTGAAATCACCGAACATTTGGAAATACGATGTGGTGTACATTGAGAAGATAGTTTCGATAAAGGTCATTCCTTTAACACTCCCGTCTAAAAAAACAATTAGAGAAATGGTCAGGGGTGGTTAATAACATTTTGCTTAATAACCCGGGGTATCGCTGATTTCATTATACGAGGAGAAATATTCTAGAGAAGACAGCAGTTAAGGTGAATGCTAAAAAGATAAAGTCGGACTTACTAATGGATAACTTGTCATTTGTGTAAAAACCGTTCGGGTAGGCAATCGATTGTGCCGCCACAGCGTAGCCAACCATTATGACCGCTAAGATGATCATGAAGGGAATCAAATCGTTGGTAACCTACAATGACAGCACACATGATTGAGAAGGTAAAGTATCATTGACTTCAGAGGTTAAAAAAAGGTGAGCACTTGAATATTTATACCCATTGAAACTTTGTACTTTAGGAAATTACAGATGATAATAATACGCCCGTTTACTGATAAATATGTCGTGCATAATATTATTTGGGCAAACAGATTCAGAGCTATAACTGGGAGAAAGACGTTTTGCGATTTACTCGAATGAATTAAGGCGTCTATTGTAATGACATTATATTGACTCATTATAATCTTAGAAATATGGAAAACCTGAGGTGATATAACATCGAAAAAAATATTAAATAATCACACTAGAGATGGTGGTCCAATAATTTAAAAAAAATTAATCAAAAATCCAAAAAATTCGCAGGGATTTTGATAAGGTCACTGGGCGTAAATTTTAAATTTGTTAATCGCGAAAAAACTCACCATTTTGCCGATCATGATTAGCTTGGGACCTAGGGCGATGTGGAAACTGAAGGAATACATTAGCCTAATATAGAAGACGAAGAGAGAGAATGCCATACAAATTCGAGAGGGGTCCAAGATGGGGTCTGTGAGAATGTGGAAAGCCTCAGTGTCTGAGTTCATTTTAGAATCGCCCAGTCGAGCAAGTACTACCAATCGCAATATAAATCCCACTATGAATAATATTAAGCCTGTACAATCCAATTTGTTCCAACCGTCCGATATATACGTAGAGAAACTGATTCCTGATAATACCGACTAGAAATAGATAAAGAAAAAGACATCACCTAAGCCGTTGATAGCATTAAGAGCATATTAAGATGTAAATTCTAATAAATGTGGTTAGACCATTGTAAAAATAGGAAAATTTAAATTCGCAAAGCCAAAACAATGCACTGTAGATTTAACAAATGAGAGAAATCAAATATAACATTAAATGTTCTGATATTAGAAAGATTGGACAGGCTCTCATACAAAACATTGCACATAATTGAGCGATATTCAGTTATTGTTCGTTGGATACGCGCTTAGAAATGAAAGACGAGAACTACCGATGACTGTTGCCTCTTTGGTCAAGAGAACACACGAGAAGTTAATTATGGGTATGAGTATGCCTTTAAGCCAATTAAGTAACAATCTCATTGCATGTCGTTTTTTGAAAAATATGATCACTTTTAACTATTCGCACCAGAGGAGTTTTAGTTTACATTAGAAGGGGTGTGCGATAGACTTACCTCCGCGTGGTGCACCCTGGGCAACGTATACTCATACTGCAAAACAGTCTATTAACTGGCAGTTGACCTCTGACTTCAAACTACCATGACCCCACTGTATGTCATATTCGACCCCTTCCGCAGTACTCATCTAGCCTTTTCTCTGCCTTTGTGTCTGTCTGTCTCTTTTTTCATCTGTGGAACACTCTTCCGTTCCCTCTCTCGACTTTTGTGACTTTGCCCATTCCTCTCCTCTGTGAAGCCCCGAATTCAACTAAAGGGCTAATGATGACTACCAAAACGCCTGCCATTTGAAATAAATAATCTAACTTATGCAACAGCTGAAGCTTACAATGAGGATTGCACTTTTATACGGCAGTTTGTAGGGGGGAGGGGGATTTAAAATTATAAATAATATTGAAATACCCTAATTATGATTGCGTTTTATCAAAGTAACTATTTTTTCCTTATAGTCTGAAATTACAAGACGAGAGAGAGAGGTTTCGACGTAAGAAATCACGCATTAATGAAGTGAGATTAAAAATCAAGTTTGATAACCGTTAACCATCCAACATAGTGTTTGTGATGACCTTGAAAATTTTCAGAATTTTAGGCTTCTAAGAAAATAGTTGCAACTGTTTTTTTCTAATACAGATTGCTGGGATTTTATTTTTTGTGTTCATTAATTAACATCGTGTTTTCGATGATAATAATTGTCGGTTTTGGTTTGCTTTCGAAGGTGTTTTCATTGCCTCATCAATATTAATGAGAATATAAATCTGGTAAATTCGAAATTGCCGGAGATTTCTATGCTTCTGAGACGCGTAGTTAGTGTCTGGAAGACCTTCCACATTCATTATTGAATACCACTGACAATTGAATAATTTCTCAGAGGATAAATAGATTATTCAATTTTGAGCGCAAGTGATACATTACCCCCTACGAAAGCCTGATCGACACCTCCTGTCACATGCTTCTTCAAACAAGCAAACCTCAATAAATACGGTTTTATAATTTAATTATTGACGAAGTAGGGGGTGATAAACGGAAAAAATAATTTTTAATAAACCGATTGAGCAAATTTGATAAAGCACTGCTTGTCAAAAAAGTTACCTTTAAGCAAACCAATTCGGATATGAACTAATTGCCTGCCATACAAACAGCACAATAGGTTCTAAGAATCGATTAAATATTATCAGAAATGGAAATCAATTAAGATTCCAACCGGTGTACAACTATTGGGTGCTTAAATAGCAGCCATCTGTCTGCTAATGGTGATCCATGCTGAATTCGTGGGTAAAGAAATTTACCCTATTTCCTTTTGATAACATTTACAGCTATAAGACACGATATTACGAAAAAGTGTATGCCAATACATCTAAATTAGCCAATTTCCTGACCGCAGGCAAATTCTTTTTTATTACTTATAACGTTATTTTTGGGCGAATATTTCATCTTAATAAAAATTAAAGTTCAAAACGATAAAATTGGGCATGCTATCCCAAATCGGCAAAGTTTGATACACACACAGTGTTCAATTGTCAGTTGTCATTTCACGGAGATAGTTATGAATTAAATAACCACTATTTCAGATTATTCTTATTTGCCTGTTTCGTTAACTTGTAAAAGGTACAGTGACCTTGCCCTAGAGCGCCTGCAGCATACTGCCATCGAAGTACACTCGAGAGAGAGGGGCGGAAAAATTGACATTTTGACCTATTCGCATAATCTCACATTTTATGCGAAATCAAGTTACCATAAAAAAATAGTGAAAGTGAGTGCTAATAAAGTAATGGTAAACTTTTGTCCATTGTTAATTAGTCCAAAATGTGGATTCTCTAAGTTTTAGTGTATGATTTTTGGATTTTTCACATATACAGAACGGGGTGCGCGATAGACCTATTTTCA